AAATATATTAATTAATAAAATAAAATAAGTCAAACTAAGAATAAGTGCAACATAAAAAGACAACCACTCACAAAAAAATGAATCCATATGTCAATTAATTTTTTTTACTTCATTGCGTGAAAAAATAAAATATATCATAAAAACAACAAACAAAAAATGATAAAAAACAATTAATAATAAGAAAAAAATATAAAATAAATATTAAAAAAAAGTAAAAAAAAACAAAAAAAAATTAAGACACTTCTTAATAGAATAGATAAAATAATTTACAAAAAAAATCACAAAACAGTCGTAAACAAATTGATGGGATTTTAGCCCAACAACTATGGCGACGAAGAATGGATTTAGGAAAATGAATATCAATAATAATAAATCTTGATGTATTTCTATTACTTTGTTTATGCTTGTCGTTTTTTTTTACAATGGAGGGCTCCCCGCTATTTATACTATATTACAATTACATACATGATGTGCACTCATAGTGCACATAAATCTCAGCCATTATCTCTTGTACGTCGATCGTGGAGGTTAACAGCTCAACCCCTGATCTTCCCATGAATTGGTGCTGTATTATTCGTTCGGGCCTATCAACAGGAACTAGGCCTTTAATATCCCATTTACCAACCCTCGTTCCGTACTGGCCCAAGTCACTCTCATGTGGATTGGGTCGTTCATATTTGTTTAATGGGTCCGGGTATCCATAACAAGCCCCCTAGTTTCTTAGCGACACGTCGTTAAGGAACTATTTATGTTGTGCCCCCATTGGTCCGAGCGTTGGGTCAGAAAGGATTACATTTTCCACTCTGAGCTTTGAGTTGCGACGTTTTTATTCTCGCTCCAACTTGCTAACCCGTTTAGGCGTGTGCACTGTTCTAGATTCTTCCCTAATTTCCTCTACGAATCCCCCAATCTTCCACATAGGTTTTTTTCAATAAGGCCAAACCCATCGAAATCGCTCACTAAGAACTCAGCCCCTCCAAAATCAAAAGCTCTGAGCTTGTCCTCATGCGCGATCTCTTACGGGGTTCCTTCAAAATCCATCATCCGGATGTCGTTGGTGGAATTTCACTTATCCACAATCCGGCACCAGAGCGTTTTATGGTGATGCATTACGATTCAGTTCTTCACGGCTTGAGACATTCATTCCACCCCTCGTTTGCGAGGTGTGTAGAAATTGGGATATTCTCCCTGACAATTTAGAGCCAATGCGCACAAATATCTGACATCTTACATCTTGCGCTTCTATGACAAACTTTAGACCCCTTATGTGAGGGATTTCATGCACTTCTTCAACCTCGGAGGTAATTTTCCCTTCTTCAGCTTATATCCCAATCAGATTTACATTCTCTTCGCCAAGGTTGAGTTGCGTATTAAGAATTAGGAAGACAATTTTTTTGTGATTGAGGCTCTTACTGACTTGCCTTTTGACCTTCCAATTGAGTCTCGTAGAACAAAACTCTCCCACACCCCCATTTTCAAGGATTCAGCCTTTGAGGAGATGAGAGATACCGCCCTCATCAGTCACGAGTGCCTTCAAACCCCCGAGGTGTTCAGGAAAGCTGGGTTTTACTTCTTAGGCCATCGTCCCATCATTTCTTCTAGGTCAGCCAAACTCATCTCCTCTGACTCTGATGTCGGCAGCTCCTAGGTCCCACTTCTTTTAAGCGGGTTGAACCTCAATCTTCTGATGCTATATATCATGTGGGCATGCCTATTAATCCTCCTATTGTTCCTGGGTCCACCAACACCTCTTCCCCCGCTCAAGATACATCATCTCCGGTTCTGGTCTTCGAAAAACCATCCACCACGCAAAAAGTGCAAACATCTTGACACTTCTGCCCTGTCCCAACTCAAGAAGCAGAAAGGCTCCCTTCTTGAGGTGGTTTCCTAGGTACCCACCGCTATACCTACCCTTACTATCCGAGATGTAGCTTTGAACCATCCTCCATTGGGTTCATCTTCTGGGGATAAAAACCCAGCAGCCTAGATGGAAGGTGTGGCTCAAGCGTCCCAGGAAGATCGCCAACCTAAGGGTGTTGACGAAGCCACCACATCTGCTAAGCAGCCCACTGTCACAGTTCTTCCTAGATCTCCATCAAAGGTGTAATGCCCTGAAATCTGGCTTAGTATTATTAATCAATATATTTAATTAATTAATTATTGAGTCGATTAAAATGAAGATTATTTTTTAATTTTCGTATTTAATATGAGTAGAGCTCGTTGTTCTGAACCCGACCGTGCAAACGGATTGAGAATCGGACTTTCTAGGCCCAAGATATGATTACCGAATAAGGTAATTGAGCTTAAATCTGTCCTAACTAGTTAGAAAATGTAAACTGGACCCTAAAATCTATATAATATTATATTAAATAGGAAGGGGGGGTTACGAGATACAACTCTCTCTCTCTTCGTCGATTTCTTTCGTCGTTTCCACTGCTCTCCCCGTCGTCCGCTCCAGCTGCCACAACAGCGTAGAGAGATAAGGGTATTTGAGACTTTTTACACCTTTCATTGGTATTCGTGCCAAAACAAAAGTGGGGAAGTACTTCACAACGGAGAGAGTAACTATTATACTTGCAAATTAGGAAAAACCGATGTGTGGAAAATGGAGCTTCCAAGATTACATATAACAAATACTCTCTCCGTTCCTGAAAACTTTTCTCTTTTCTTTTTTCATCCGTCCTAAAAAACACTTCTTATTTCTATTAAAAAGTCACTTTTACCCCTTATTTTTTCATACCCTACCTACATATCATATTTTTTTACTAATAATCTACTCATCAAATCCTACTTTTACCTATTACATCAAAGGACATTTTTGAAGATTCAATACCAAAATACACTTTCCTTAAATCTCTTCAAAATCAAAACACCCCATTTTAATGAGACTGAGGGAGTATTATTATTTTTATTTCTCGTGGCAGTTTAACTATGAAATTGAGTGGAGGTGGCAAATGCAACATCTCTTCCAGTGTATCTCTTTCCAAAAAATATTGTGGAACTTTCCAAATTAAAGGATGATGTTGTTGGGTTTAAAGTAGTTCCGTAGATTCTTCAAGATCTATCGTAAGTTGGCATACTTTTTTTCTTTTGTTGTATTATAATTGTTATTGTTGTTGTTACTAAAGCTCTTCAGTTACCTGCGACCACCGTCTCTTCCTCTCTCTTTCCGCTGTTGTGCACAGGTCGGCCGAACAAGGGAAGTGGCGGTACCTCCTTTTCCTCCAACCCGAGTTTGATTTTTCAATTTTCAGGTGATTCGTCGTCCAGATATTTATCGTAAGGTTAATTCATAGATTAGGATCTCATTTATGTTTAATCTTGCGATTGATAGTTGAAATTGTGGATCGGAATTGATGAATGAGTTGGGGTAGTGAACCATTAGGACTGGTTTAGGGATCAGATTTCCAGCGGTTCTCCGACAGGTCACCAGCTGAGGGTCGGCCCAAGTTGCCGAAATTTCTATTTGATTTCGATTGGTCCCTATTTGACCTAATTGGGTCAAAATGGTCTAATTGCATTGGTTTGGGTCTCATTTTGGGCCAACTTGTTTGGGTTAAATTAGATACAATCAGAATGAGATAAAGCAATTATGTCGATATATTTGTGGGACACAAGACTTAGGTCTCTACTCTACCAAAAAGATGAAAAGTCCCAACTTGTAGAGTATGCTAATGAAAAGTTCCAACAATGCACGTTCTGAAACAGGTTATGTGTTCACATACGGTGGTACAACAATTTCTTAGAACAAAGCAAACTTTAACAGCAACATCATCAAATCAAGCTGAATTGGTGGCACTTTATGAAGCTGGTCGAGAGTGCGTTTGGTTGAGATTGATGATTGATCGTATACAAGAAGCATGTGGTTTGGAAGAAATCAAGAAGAGTCTTACAACTATATACGAAGACATTGCAGCATGCACAACGAAGCACATCTCACCAAAGGTTTTCTCAACATTTGATCTGCAGAAAGAAAGAGAGATCGATGTTCTTCGAATTAAATCAAGCAAAAATTTGGCAAACTTATTCACCAAATCTATGACTAAGCATAATTTTGAGCAACTCATAAAGAAGATTAGACTTCGCAGGCTGAAAGAGATAAATTAGTTTGAGGGGGAGTATAATATTATTTTGAGTGAAAACATTATACACGCTGTACTCTTTTTCTCTTAGCTAAGTTTTGTCCATCTGAATTTTCTTAGTAAAGTTTTTAATGAGGCAACATAGTTGATCCTGCAGTATCAGTTAAAATAGGTCAACATAATCAACATTATCCAATATCATAATAATGTTAGTGTATAATGAACAAAGATATATCCGAGGGGGAATGTTAACTATGACAGATATATTACTCATATTTATTAGAGTATTTGTTTCCTTGTTTATCAAAACTTTACCTCTTCCTGTGCAGAAAATTACTCATGGGTGATGTGAGTTTTGTCGAAATAACTTTTAGGTCCCTCTATTTTCAAAAAGACAACCGAGGTCCTTGTATTTTGTTGTAATAACTGGAGGAGACATTTCATCCAATACATCATTCGTAAGTGTTAACAAATGTATTTTTTTTCCTATTTTTCCAATACCGTTTTTCGTATTTTGCCATTACCTTGTTTTATCTTTTTTTAGATTTTTTTTATTTCATTTGTTTTAATATAATACAAACAATTTTAAATTTTTATACGATTTTATAGGAGAATTTTTAAAATAACACTTCAAAAAACAGTAACAAAATGAAAGAAAAACAAAGAAATAAAAAAAAGGAACGACCTAAGATTTATTACCTTAAAACATTTAGAAAAGAATGAAAAAAAATACATTTATTAAAGTTTATAGATGAAATATTGGATGAAATGTTCCTTTCCAGTCATTACAATAAAATGTAAGGAACTTTACTGTCTTTTTGAAATAGAGAGACCTGAGAGTTATTTCAACAAGACTCATGTCACCCGTGAGTAATGTTCTATCTTCATATGTATAGATGTCCCGACATATGAATAATATGATGAATAAAAATAAAAATGAAATTGTGTGAGACAATTTTTTCTAAATTGTCATCGCTCTCGCTCTCTGCATAATATGATGAATAAAAATAAAAATGCAAAACCAAAGTACATATTCGGACTTCGGAGTACATCACTCGCACAAAATCAAGAAATTGTCATCGCTCTCGCTCTCTGCATTTTGGATCTGGAAGGAAGGTCGTTCCTATCTCACGCTCGTCTCCATCTCTCTTCCGCCATGGGAACACCTCGTGGATCTACGCTTCCGCTTCAGTCATTGATATCAATTGCCCTCTTTCTCACCTTTCAGAATGCCGGATCGTTCTACCTCCCGGGCGTCGCCCCCATTCTGAAGGTATACCAGGCGTTAAGGGAGAGTGCTCTAAAATTATGAAACAATCAGTAAAGTGCGACTATACCACAGAACAGATACACGTCACACCAACACAAAAGGAGAGTCTAGACGCACTAGAGAGAAAGGTAAAGAGGAGAGAGAGATATATAAGATATATATATATATATATATATATATATATATATATGCACTTTGATTGGTGAATTTGAATGTCGTGATTGTTAGGAAGATCCATGTTAAACTAATGCGTTGGAAAAATGCTTTTCCGGGTAGGAGGCTAGAACAGATTGGAATGACATTCTGGATTATGCATTCATTCGCTGCTGTCTTCTGAAATAGCAATCTCATATGCTTATGTTCCATAGTTGCAATGTACTAGTGCAAGAACATTATGTAGGCAACTCAATACTTTTGATATGGCCATCTTATGTGTGATTCATATTAAATGAAGTTGAGGTTTCCTTGTGTTTACAACAAGAATAACAGACTCCCCTGCCTAGTCCCACATTTGGGGCCTGGAAGGATGTATTTACGTAGACTTTGCTCCTACCTTCAAAAGTAATTTCTTTTTTCCCTACAGAGGGTAGGGAGGTAGTTTTAAAAGACCCTGGCTTTGGGGTTTGGTTGTGTTTAGCGTTGTAAATTGTTAAGTTATGCCATTTTCCACAATCACACATGACTAATTCATTATGTATACATTTTTTTGCTTGCACAAAAAAGAGGATACTTTAGAATGAAACACCCCAATATGCTTTCCAAAGGGTGAAATGGTTTGATGCATATTCTCATCATTCATAAATTTAAAGGCAGTATATTATCAGTAATGAATCTAAAATTTTAAGTTCTTATTGAGGCTTAACATTCAAATTGCTTTCTCCAGACTGTATATGATAGAACGTGACTTACAAGGTAGCCCAAGATGTTGTACAATGGGAACAAATAAGGGGTCTCTTGGTCTTGTATGTTATGCTAGACTAATTCTATTTAATGATCTTCAAATATGGGATGCAATGTGGTGTTGTGAATTGTTCGGATCAGTTACAAATAATCTCATATTCTACCATGATATTCATGAGAATATTTATTCTCATGAAGCTGATCCACTTGCGTAGCATGTAGCAGATTGTATTTGATGTAATCACCAAGAGCTCACCATTGATGATAGGGTTAAGGGCTCGGTCATGAAAAACCTCTCAAAAACAATGTTAATTCTCTACATCACTTTCCTATGCCTTTCATGATCTGAGTGCCTCATGTACTGCATTTGTTATTTAACTTAAGCAGACAAGCAAATGCTTTTGTATTAATTCTAACTTGACATCATAATACTTTGGTTTAATGTTGTATATTTACGGAGTATTTATAAGAGTTCTTAGTAATCTGGACATTGTTTGTTCAATCATTGCTGCAGGCAGACCCATTGTATGTGAAAGTAAATAAACTGACGTCTACAAAGACTCAACTTCCTTACTCATACTATTCTGTGCCCTTCTGCCGTCCAGAAAAAATTATTGATAGCAGAGAAAATCTAGGGGAAGTACTTCGTGGGGACCGAATCGAGAATTCTCCTTTTGTAGTATGTTCAATATGATTTTGCGTCTCTCTCTCTCTCTCTCTCTCTTTTATTTCAACAGAAGTTTACTCAATCTGGTGTTATGGCCTTGCAGTTTAAAATGAGGCAACCTGAGATGTGTCATGTTCTGTGCCGGGTAGTTCTTGATGAAAAAACTGCAAAGGCATTCAAAGATAAGATTGAAGATGAGTATCGTGTGAATATGTATGCCCTGTTGACTTGTCATATAACACTATTCATTTATCTTTATATTTGGCACATGCATATATTCCGTTTTATTACTTTTTGTATTAAAAACTATTTGGATAAATGTGTCAGGATCTTGGATAATCTTCCATTGGTTGTTCCGGTTCGAAGGCTAGACCCTGAAGGTCCTCCTGCTTACCAGCAAGGATATTATGTTGGCGTGAAAGGACAATATACTGGAGTAAGTACACTTTTTATCATAGTACCCTAAAAAGGAAAACCTACCAAGATTTATCTTTTACTCATACTATGCAATTATGATCAGAGCAAGGATGAAAAATTCTTTATCCACAACCACTTGAGTTTTACAGTCAAGTATCATAAAGATTTGCAGTTTGACTCAGCCAGGATTGTTGGATTTGAGGTCATGCCATACAGGTTTTGGACGCTCTTGCTCAGAACACTGTAGTGCATATGTACGTTAAAAATTCTTTTCCTAACACATCTATTATCTTATATATATGCATCCAGTGTCAAGCATGAATATGAAGGAGAATGGACTGAGAATACTCGTTTGACGACGTGTGATCCACATGCAAAGCGGACAGTGACTAATTCGAATTCTCCTCAAGAGGTGGAGAACAAAAAAGAAATCATATTCACCTATGATGTTGAGTTCCAGGTATTGTATTTTGAAACATTGTTTAGGTAGACAGGCCTTTTTTGTTGGCATTCTCATTCTGCCTGATGGGGTGGTCGCTTACATTTGAATCATAAAGATTATGTACAGTCCAATGTTGTTTGAAACTTATGCAGAATAGCTTTGTTATTATTTCTGCATACTTGCAGGAAAGTGAAGTGAAGTGGGCATCAAGATGGGATGCCTATCTCCTGATGGCAGATGACCAAATCCACTGGTTCTCGGTTGTAAATTCTTTGATGATTGTTCTCTTCCTCTCGGGTATGGTGGCCATGATTATGCTGCGGACTTTGTATCGTGACATTTCCAGGTATAATGAACTTGAGACGCAGGAGGAAGCTCAAGAAGAAACCGGATGGAAGCTAGTGCATGCCGATGTTTTCAGGCCCCCAAGTAACTCAAATTTGCTTTGCATCTATGTGGGGACTGGGGTGCAGTTCTTTGGTGTGCTGCTTGTGACAATGATATTTGCTGTCCTTGGGTTCCTCTCTCCTTCAAACCGTGGTGGTTTAATGACCGCCATGCTCTTACTTTGGGTTTTCATGGGATTATTTGCTGGTTATGCCTCCACCCGTCTTTACAAGATGTTTAAGGGTACTGAGTGGAAAGCAATTGCTCTGAGGACTGCCCTCCTTTTTCCCGCCACCGTATTTGCCATCTTTTTTGTTTTAAATGCACTCATCTGGGGTGAGAAGTCATCGGGGGCAGTTCCATTTGGGACCATGTTTGCTCTAGTCGCCTTATGGTTTGGAATCTCGGTTCCCCTGGTATTTGTGGGCAGTTATGTTGGTTTCAAGAAACCAATGATTGAGGATCCCGTGAAGACTAACAAAATACCAAGACAAATCCCTGAGCAGGCATGGTACATGAACCCGATTTTCTCGGTTCTGATTGGGGGAATACTTCCATTCGGAGCCGTTTTCATTGAGCTCTTCTTCATCCTCACCTCAATTTGGTTGAACCAGTTCTACTACCTCTTTGGCTTCCTCTTCATCGTCTTCATGATTCTGATTGTCACCTGCGCAGAGATAACAATTGTGCTCTGCTATTTCCAGCTATGCAGCGAAGACTATCTATGGTGGTGGCGATCTTACCTCACATCAGGTTCATCAGCTCTATACCTCTTCCTGTATGCTACTTTCTATTTCTTCACTAAGCTGGAAATCACGAAGCCCGTTTCTGGAATACTGTACTTTGGCTACATGCTGATTGCCTCCTACGCATTTTTCGTCCTCACCGGCACAATCGGCTTCTATGCATGCTTCTGGTTCACAAGGCTCATTTATTCATCCGTCAAGATTGACTAATCAGCTGCCGTTGTGGTGTAAGCCTTTTAGATATTTTCTTTTTGCAGTTGCAGTGCCTTAAATTGTTTCATTTTTGTAGCTCTACCCAGAAATAGTTCACTGATAAAAGAACTTCAAAAATGTTTCCTTATAAAATCCATGTAAGTCTATATATATATTGTAATACATGTGGTTTGAACCCGTTCAATTAGAGGCTATATATTTTTTGAACGAAGCGACATAATATAGATCAGATGGAAGGCCATCCATCCCCTTTATCTGACTCATATTACAAAAACTAAAACTGTTCAAAAGCTATTTATCAAGCAGTTACTATGTCTCACAGTTGTGGTTTTTTTTAACAATGGGGTATCCGTGAAGGTAGAAACATTGATATGTTGTTCGGGAGGAACCAGTTACATAACAACTATGTTGTGTCTATGTGGTGGAATCCAGTTGACAAAACTGCAGTGTCGACGTTTTTTTGTTGACTAAAAATAAAATTTTCTTTTCAACGTCTGTGAAAAATAAAGATTATGGTTAAAAGTATATTAAGATGTAAATCCTACACTAGGTCCTTTCAGTACTCACTACTCCATGCATTTTTAGTGGTCTTTTTTTACTTGTTTGGTTAAACTCTTAACACTATAAAAGACTTTAAGTTTGATAGTGGAATATTCAGACTTGATCAGACTTGTACTGATCTGAAATCAGATTTAGAGATTTTGAAAATTCGCTCGCTTAGAAACAGATACAGATGACTTACAAGGGTTATAAAAATGTATAAAAACAGATACAGATGACTTACTTGGTAGCATGCTGTATAAAAATGTAAAGAATGACACCAGACTTGTTTACTTAGTTTGGATTGGAGGAACTTATCTTAATTTGCGGGGTTCATGTTAGTATAATAGTTATCCACTAAATCACTAGGTGTAAATTACACCAGTAACAACAACATGATGTGACACACTTCTTTGAATTATTATGATAATTAAATCTCTAATATGAGATTTCTAACCCGTACCTTGTACGAATTCGTTTCCACTATCACATCTCCACTCATTGACAAACGTGTTGGTTCAACTCAGGTTCAACTTCTAGACATTACGATTTTTGCGCGTTGGAGGACTCTTCTTTACGTTGATCATGATTTTTTCATGCAAGAATGACTTCGGAATGTGATAGGAACACTCTTTGATCAGAATTTTTGTGTGTTTTTTCCCTCACAATTTCTCCAAGAAATTCCTGCAGGGATTTTATGCGTTAAAATAGACTCTCCAAACCCAATCCTAATAGGAGATTTAAATAAAAACAACCTCTCCTACTCTGATTGCATTGAGCCATTGGGTTGGCATTATTCTTTAAGGCCTAGCATTTTTATTAATTTAACCTCTCAATATAATTGATCATTTGATTATCACCCCATGGCATTAGGTTGATGATCGGTGTGGCTGGAGACAGTAAGGCCAAGCTTGAAAGTTAAACCACGTCCAATTCGGAAAGCAACAATTTCGGAAAAAAAACTTGCAATAATCAAATTAAGAGTGGGAAAAAAAACCCGAATAAGCATGGTATCATACCAGACCGTAATGGTTCCAAACCGTTTATAGTGTTTTTAAACGGGATTGACTTTTTTCATCACGAACCGAAATCGAACCGATATCAAACAGGACGGGGTCGTGATACAAATATTTAAAATTGATTATCACGGACCGAACCGTTCAAAGCATTATAGAAGTATCTCAAACAATTACGGAGTAATTATCTATTTCATCTTACCGTATATAAAATACTTCATATTGTATTATTCATTTTTTAAATTCTTTCATTATTGTTGTTATTATATGTATTACTACTATTACCATTATTTTTTAGAGTTATTAATAGTCCGATATTATATGAATTGAAAAAAATTTATTTTTATAATTTAGACCCATTATCTTTTATTCTTTATGTTTATGATTCTTTTAAATTCAAAATCAATACTTCTATTTAACAAAGTTGTGCTTTTTTATTTCAATGTTATTTGAGTAATGCATGTTCCTTTTTTTTTTTGGCACGGCTTGAGCATGAGTATTATGGTATTGTACCATTTCGTTTCAAAACAGAATGATACTGAATGGTTTTGGAGTTCATCCAGTACCAATATCAAACCATTTAAATAAGAGCGGTTCGTGATACGTTCCAGTAGTACCGCGGATTGTGCTCACCCCTAAATCAAATGAAAAGTGTATGCAATCTTTCAAGCAATTGAAAAACAGTTCATGGTTGCACCTATTCTCTTTTAACTAAATGCCCAAATGAGTATTTTCAATCGAACGAAAAACGATGGATGAAATAAGATTAAGTGTGACCACTATGAAGGCTTGTGTTTGACAAAGGAAGAGTAAATCCCTTCGATTTGGGGAGGGGGGGAGACAATTTGGAAACAAAGGGAGGGATTTAGAGTTAAAATATCCTAATTGTACACCAAGACAAATACAGACATAATGCTTCTGCTTGAATAGACATAAAGTGTCTGTGTTTGCCTTTGCTGTCAAATTGGGATACACTTCTTGATATACCCTTATCATTTTTCTTTTATTAAACCAACCTTATATAAAACCAAAATACAATTCCACCACATATTTAATTCCTTAGAAAAAATGTGACATAATTTTAGGAGATGCGAGAAAGGAAAGTACGAACATTATATGAGACTGAGAGTGTAGTTAATAAGTTTATCACCAATACAATATGTTTGTTTAGAATAACTGGGTTAGAGCACATCAAGGAAACAATATTGCTTTACACATTGCATGCAGTGGCACAAAGGTTGAGAAATTAAAATGTTGAATTATCAAAAAATATTTACACTGCCTTTTTAGATCTCCCTCAACAATGCCAAAACCAAAGATGAGTGATTTGGTGAACTTCTGTATGATCCATTGCCTTTTAAGATCTGATCAGCAACTCATACACATTGCTACTGTTATCGCCAGAAACGCGCTTAAGCATTTCAAAGCTTTTACGGCTACCCATAAACTCAGTCCATTTAAACGCAACATACCCACATTTTGTCGTTTCATCGCTGCAATACACAGACCGCAGCCGATCAGCATGTCTGGAGTCTGTGTGGATGGCCACCTCTATTTCTTGAATAGACATCTCTTCCTGTGCAGCAGGGAAGTAGGACTAAATAACTTTTCTATTTTTTTTTAACGAATAAGAAAAAAGGCAGTTGATATTCGTACAAATATGTTGAATGTGTTGGTTAATTCCAGTCCAGAATATAGTTTAAATTTAAAAATAAATAAGTAAAAAAAAGGGCAGGCAGTTGGGCAGTTACAGGCAGTTTTATGACAGTTTCCAACAGATGTGTTGGTTAGAAACTGTTGTGTCTATTTGTAATGGTTGTGCTGTTTAGTCCTCTATTTATATGTATGGGCACATTGTTCTGGACAGCAGTTCCACAATAAAAACACACTGTTTCTATAATTTAGATCTGTCATTATTTCTCTCAATTGGTATCAGAGCCCTGGTAAAAATAAAAACATCAAACACAGATCTGTGATCAGTAGTTGTCTTGCAATGCGCCTGAAAAACAATAGTCTGTGATGGAGGCCATCAATACTAAGAAAACAAATGATGTTGTTGCTGTTACCCCGGTTCGAGATGGAGGCTCGACAACGTACCAATGTCCTGTACTCACTACAACGAATTATACATCTTGGGCTATCAAGATGCAGTCGTTTATGGATGCCCAAGGAATTTGGGATGCCATAGAACCACCGGATGCGACGGAGGTGGACGTCAAGATCCGGAAGAAGGCAAGGGCCTTTATCTTCCAGGCACTACCGGAAGACATTCTCATGCAAGTAGCAGGACATGCAGAGGCCAAGGACGTGTGGGATGCACTCAGGGTGCGTTATCTTGGAGCCGATCGGGTTAAACAAGCACGAATCCAAACTCTGAACAGAGAGTTTGAACTGCTGAGAATGAAGGAAAGTGAGAGTATTGATGATTTTGCAAGCAAGATCAGCAAGATCGTGTCTAAGGTTCGGGCACTTGGATCGACAATTGAGGAAAAGAAACAAGTGAATAAGTTGCTTAATTCTGCCACAAACAAGTTCCTTCCAATTGTTGCCACAATAGAACAGTATTCAGACTTGAATACTATGGCGTTTGAGGAAGCTGTTGGTAGCCTTAAGGCCTATGAGGAACGGATTACTCCTAGTGGATCTGTCAAAGATTCATCAGATCAATTGTTGTTAACAAGGGCTGAATGGAAAGAAAGGCAGAAAACGGA